GGAATAAAATCGGTGATAAAGGAGCAGAATATCTTGCCAATGCTCTAGAAATCAACAAGGTAACAATAAAAAATATTCCTCTTCACTTCTCTTCGTCATTCACATACTTTTCACATAGACACTCACCACAGTCTACCTCATAGGCAATGAAATCGGTAATCAAGGAGCACAACATCTTGCTAAAGCTCTGCAAATTAACAAAGTAACAACAATACTTGTTCTTCTTCCTCTTCAATTCATCACTCACACACATTTTACATAGACACTCACCACACTGAACCTTACACATAATAACGTCGGTGATCAAGGAGTACAACATCTTGCTAATGCACTACAAATCAATAAAGTAATAACAATACTTATTCTTCTTCCCTTCACTTCACTTTATCATTCACACACATTCTACATAGACACTCACCACACTCAACCTCCGAAGCAATACAATCGGTGATCAAGGAGCGCAAGATCTTACTAATGCTCTACAAATCAACAAAGTAACAACAATACTTGTTCTCCTTTCTCTTCACTATACTTGATCATTCACACACTTTTCACACAGACACTCACCACACTCAAGCTCGGATATAATCAAATCGGTAATGATGCACGCGCACGACTTGAGAAAATATGCGAAGAAAATATTGGACTGAAAATAAGGTTTTGGTGAAAATCATTATTAACAGTAGCAACCACAAACAAGAATGCTTTTACTTTTAATGTTTATAAGATTTTTTATTGATTCAACAAATATACGTAATATCTTGTCGCAATGGAAGATTTTTCTTGTGTTTATAGTTGGTAGAAACTACAGAACTGTGGAGATTCTCCAGAATGTAGCAAGTAAAGTTCTGTCGGAAGTGTCATTTTTGCAGTGATGTTACTTGAATCACCGGTTTGTGATTGTCTAATAGCAGTTCCTTATCGAGGAGAAATGAAAGAAAAAGGAAATTTATGAAATCGTTCGCATGTTTTCATCGTAGGATTTTGACAAGAAAGGCATTTTTCTATTCAGAGACTGATGGTGATCATATCTAAGAAAGAAATATCCGTTGTTATGTTCACCGGGACGCATGCAAGAGTGTTTCTGCAACATTAGTTTCATTTGAAAGTACTAGTAAATATTAGTGAGACGAGGACATTTCGAAAAGTATACGCTTGCAATATATTAGTGACAAATTGTCAGCGTATCGATGCCTGTTTATTAGAAATAAAAAACTCTCATGTAATATTTTATGTATGAAAGATTGGTTAGCTATTAGAATTTCTGAGGATTTTAGAGTCTATACACGTAAGTTTTTGAATTCATTTAATTTTCGAGCAACTGTACTTTTATATTCTTTCGGTACTCTTTGTTTGAAGTGATGTTATAAGAAAAGTAATATTTTGAGTAAAAATTCCAGCAAACGATTAAAACTTCTCATTCATTTATCGTAAACATAGGCAAATATAAAGTTCTTTTTTTCTAAGAATAGTTTACTCAAAATTAAAAAGAAGAAGCCGAACATTTAGGAATGACAGATATACTCTCTTCATGGCATATGCAGCTCCTAGTACGATAATCCCATAATGAACATGATTTTTATCGTTACCTTAATTAAAACTGAATGTTCAGGTTTCCCATGCAAAGAACTCGACTGATATTTTAATACATCATTGATTGTTATTGTACGCACAATGAATTATTTCACTTTAGAGTCTTACAAATATCACAAAGCTTCGGTTTTTATAGGCTGAGAAGTATATCGATAAACTGATGTGTTCTCTTTGTCTTTCAAATGAATAGTACATGAATACTTTAAATAATTATCAATTGGATAAAAATTTTAGTTTATTTGATTAAAGTTTAACTGAAGAGAAATCAATAATATGTATTCATGAATATTTGATTTTATTATGATGCATTTAGAAAGGAGTATAGATATTCCGTTACAAGATTGAATGGTGATTCGTTTTCTGCAGTATCTTGTGTCATGTTGCTAAATCATGATGAAAAATATAAAAGTCAAAGTACATTCATATGACTTCTTCTTTCAACAAGAATTTTATTATTTTTAATCAAATAGCAAAAAACTAATGTAGTAAGAAGCAAAAGTCGATAGGAACATAACATTTATAAGTATTTGAATACCGTGATAGATATCAATTCAAAATTATATTGACAACAATATGATTCAACCTACTTTTGTTATCCACATATACCTAATGACATTAGTCCCTCATAATGAATCATAATTAGATAGTATTATTTTTACAATATTCGTAAAATTCCAGTTCAAATAGGTATATTGCTATGGTAGACGAAACTATTTTTTAAGAGAACACATTTGTATCCGCTGAAATTTTGAATATTTTAATTATGATGGTATCTATTCATTCTTAAAATATCCGATAGAACATACAATATTTTAGTTTTTACAAAAAGTCATGTTGTAAATCAAGTATTAAGTAATACATATACTTATTTTTTTTGATAAATTCCAACATTTTCTTAGATTAGCTGTACTTTCAGTATGAATATGCAAAATATTGCTATAGTTCTGTGAAATAAAACAAACTAATTGTAAAATGTCAAGAAATTTTTTATTAGGTATAGTGTAAAAATCTATGATTTATTTGAATTCTATAATAATAAGAAGAAGAACTATTAAAGTATGATTATTACAATAGTAAGTATAAGTGTCTGTTCAGTTTTTCTTTGGAGCCGAATCACCAAATACATGAGCACTAAATTGTGGAGGATAGCGATCACCTTGCACATCAGCTTTTTCACAAGCATCACGAATTTCTATGATTTCTTCTTTACTTAATTTAACTTGAGCTGCTCCTGCATTTTCTTCTAAGTTTTTAATTTTTGATGTACCAGGTATTGGAATAAAATCATCACCTTGAGCAAG